GAGAGAGAGAGAGAGAGAGAGAGAGAGAGAGAGAGAGAGAGCACGCCCTGGGTCCAACACCACATCATGCTGCCTTTTCTGTCCCAGTCTAGTTCTCTCACTTCACACTCTTTCCCCCAGTGCCCTGGCCACAAAGTGCGAATGATGATCTTCATTCTGTAAGTTCATCATAAATAGTAGTGACAACGTAAGTGCCCTGCACAAGCTTGTTGCAGGTAACTCATTACAAGAAATATGTTTCTGATAAATAGCATCAAACTTCCAAATATCAAAGACAAATTGGATACACTTAGCTGCTCCACGGTAGGAGCGAGCTCAAATAAATGGTGCTGTTCTGTAACCATCAACTATTATATGACGCTTCAAAATAAGAATCATAAAGAATATTTATTGAGAGGATTTTTTTGTTTGCATGAAAAACCCAGTAAGAAACAGAGATTTACAGTACCAATATGATGAATATGTGTGGATATATACACATGGAAAATCAAGCCCAAACGAACTCTGCAAACAGTCATCTTCTCTCTGGATAATGAGACTATTGGTGATTTTTTTTTTCTGACTCTAAGTGTCCTGTATTTTTACACGTATCTATAATAATCACATGTCAGCTTTGTACCAAGCAAAAGTATAGAAGTTTCTGGTACACTGGAGAGTAAGTTCCCTGCCTGCAGAAGGCATGGGTGTCATTGAATTTGATCTTAATATTTACAGATGCATCTGATTTGAGGCATAATTGGCACAAAAAAACCCACCCAAAAAACAAAAACAAAAGAAAAAAGGACTTGTCAAGCTCTGACCTAGAAAATAATTGTTCTAAGATATCATTTTGGATTTCTTTTTTTTTTCTTTTTCTTTTTCTTTCTTTTTTTCTTTTTCTTTCTTTTTTTTTTTTTTTTGCATTTTTAGGGAAGGATCTACAGGGTGTTCAGGGTCTCACTACTAGATAGGACTCATAGGGATCTACAGCCTTCCAAGAGGTGGGATTATAGGAGCATGCCACCACGCCCAGTCTCGATCGCTGTCTCAGCATGCCCCCTGGGGTGTGGCCAGCACAGTAGGCCTGAGGATGGAACCCCTGGCCCCTGCGCCTGCTTGCAGGTGCTTTAATCTGCTGAGCTATTTGGCTGGCCCTCATTTTGGATTTCTTAACAGTGAGCATAATGTGGACAACAAAAATTTACCTCTTGTATTTAGAGACAGTAACAAAGTGACACAATTTACAGAAAAACATGCAAAATATGCGAGTTTCATATTCTGTTTTAATGCTTCACTTTAGTTTTGTCCTAGGCAGACACAAACACCCTCTGTACTAATAGCCATGTTTAGGATTCAAATGCTCTTAGCTATGTTTAAATTCATATTCCCATCTAATAATGTTACTTTAATAACTAAATGTATTCCACAAAATCTAAATCCAATTTAAATTTTACTTACTTTTAATTCTCAACTTTGCTTTGACAGGTGAAGAACATGATGATTCAGTTCAGAAGAAAGAAATAACTAAGGTATGAAAGAGAAAATTTTATGTCGTTTTAATTTCAAATTTTAGGTGCTTTTAAAAAAAATATATCAAGTTCCTAGAGGTCTGATTTCCACTACAACTAATGATACATTTAATGTATAACATTGAAAAAATTGATTAATGTGGTTCAAAGTTTCTTCCACCAGCCCCCAACAACATAGTTCCCTCTGTTTTAAAAATTCTTTTAAAGATATTTATGCATATGCAAACCAATATATTTCCCAGCTTTTCACATAGGTTGCATCTGTTCGTTCTTCAACTTTCTTTTTCAGCATGGTATCTTAGAGATTGTTCTAAATCAGTTTTTCAAAGTACGTTTTGTTTTTAATGGCTGTCAGTAGTGTTCTGTTACACTGGCATCCCACAGTTTATGGAAGGAAGAGGCTAACAGACATCTGAAATGTTTCCCATATTTTATTTGTAAAGAAAATGTAGAAAAATCCCTACATAGATACATTATTTCATGTTAGAAAGTACAGAATCCAGGGGCTGGAGAGATGGCTCAATGGAATAAGTGCTTCCCTGGTAAGCGCAAGGGCCTGAGTTCAACCCCTGGTTCCCCCCCCCAAAAAAAAGGTACAGAATTCATTTCTAAAAATGGAACTACTAAATCAAAACATATCTGTATTTTTTATAAATATTGCAAATTACACTCATTAGAATTTATAACAAATTCCCTGATACATTCTCCAATAATTTTATTTCTTCCATTCCAACTTAGATGACTCTGGATTCTTTTTCTTACCTAATTGCTCTTGATAAGTCTTCTAATATTACTTTAAATAAAGTGAACCTTGCCTTCTCCTAATTTTAAAAGAAGAGTTCTTAGTTTTTCACTTTTTAAAAAAAATTTTTTTTCATAATTTTATTGAGAAACTAATAACAATGAGACAGTTTCAAATCAAATTGGTAGGACAGTTTCAATAATTAACACATTGCATACTCTCTTCCTAGTAGTTATTTGCTATACAAGATGCAGACATGATATCCTATTTACAAACACCATTAGAACAAATCCCTCTATTCATTTTTTTTTTTTTTCGGTAGGACAGTTTCAATAATTAACACACTGCATACATTCTTCCTAGTAGTTAACTGCTGTACAAGATGCGGACTTGATATCCTATTTACAGACACCATTAGAACAAATCATTCTATTCATTAAGAGAATGTAACTATATATCTATCCAAACCACTTTGAAAACACAAATACAATCCTCTGTATACCCATTTTTTGTTAAGTTCCGTTATTTGAATATTATAGGTATGTAAACTCAGCAAACTATTCTAAAAGAGTCCAGTAGCCCATAATAGTATTGGGTCTTCCACTTGACTGGCACTGTCAGAAATTGTTGACCTGAGTCCCCCATAGCTCAACATAACAGCATGGCTTTACTTTTTTTTTTTTTTTGGTGGAACCGGGGATTGAACTCAGATCCTTGCATTTGCCAGTCAAGTGCTTATCCTACTGAGCCATCTCCCCGGCTGGCTTTACTTCTTATATTTCGTTTTTATACTTTTCTGGTGGATGGCCCAGACCAAGGTAAAGCAGGACCAGTTTTTCACTTTTGAATATGATTTTAATTATGAGCTTTTCATATATGGCCTTCATTATGCTGAAGTATTTTTCTTTTTTATAGCATCTTTGTCATGAAGGGGCATTGAATTTTGTCAAATGATTTTCCTCAACCTATTGAGATGGCATCTTGGTTACTTATCTCTCATTGCTGAGACAAAATACCTGACACCAACATTAAGGAAGGCAAGGTTTATTCAGCTCATGGTTTGTGGAGTTTCAGTCCCTCGTCAGCTGGCTCCAAGGCAGGGTGGCGTGCCACAGGGGCCACAGTTCAAAGAGGGAGAAGGTAGATGAGGACAAAAGCAAGAAGAGCAAAAGGTCGTGTGTGTGTGTGTGTGTGTGTGTGTGTGTGTGTGTGTGTTTGTGTGTGTGATCAAGCCTCCTTTTCTCTCTGTTACCCAGACCATGTCAGTTCCCTCCTCGTCTACAACCTCAGGATGTTTACGTAGTTAGGCCCCTGGTGTACTGCTGAGTTAACCCAGGGTAATTTCTCAAGTTGACTCAGGGTATCAACCAATCCAACTTGGCCATACTCCTCTTCATCTTTCTGTTAACATGGTGGTTTGCATTGGTTCGTGTCCATTGGTTGAACCATTCTAGCATCCCAGGGATAGGATTCTTTACTGTGATGTTAGATTCAATTGGCAAGTATTTTCTTAAGGATTTTGTACTTGTGTTCATTGGTAAACTTGTGATTTTCCTGTTCTGTGTGTGGAATCTTTGGCTTTGGTGTCAGGCAATGCTGCCTCACAAACTGAGTTTGGGAGATAGCAGTTCAGTTAGTAGTTCAATAGGACTTAGTAGTTCAATAGTAGTTCAGTGAACTACTATTATTATAGTAGTTGATTATTCGGGTGCCACTGGTGGAGTACAGCACCTTCTGGGTGTGTCTGAGTGGGTGTTCACTGGTGCATTCATTGGTACATTTGAGGAGGCCTGGCTATGCATGGTTTCCTTGGCACTGTTCCTGTTCATGGTGTTTTCCTGTCACCATGAACTCAGCATCTTTTCTGGGCAGGCCGCTCCCTCCTGCCTTCATGGAGTCAGCTGACCTTGAGACTTGGAGCCCAATTAAACCTCTCCATGGGTGTCAGGTGTTGTCTCAGCAAGCTGGCTAGTACAGGAGGGGTCTGCTTCATTTAATTTTTAATTTTGGAAGAGTGTTACGAGGAATGGCAGTAATTCTACTCAGAATGTTTGGTAGGTTTTACCAGTGAAAACATCTCAGCCTAGGGTTTTCTTTGGTAGGAGGTTTTATGGTTGCTGTTGTTTTGTTCTGAGATTTTCCATGTTTTCTAGTCTGGTCTTGGACTCCCAGGCTCAAGGGATCCTTAGAGTTTAACCTTCAGTGTTCTGGGTTTACAGATGTGTTCCACCATGGCAGGCTTTGTTCAAAGGTTCTTAGTTATTGATGCAATTTCCAGAGTATAGGTCTGTTTAGTTCTTTTTTTAATTAATTAAGTTTATTAGTATATTTTAGGCTTACATAATGGTCACATTCATTATAGGGAATTTATACCTGTACATGATATATGTGATTTTTAAAAACATTTCTTTACTGTTTAGATTTGGTAGGATGTATGTGTCTAGAAATGTATCTGATCTGCTAGTATATCCAGTTTGTCCATATGTTGTAACTATTCATAGTAGTCTCTAGGGATCCTTTTATTTCTGTTATCAGTTCTAATATTTCTTTCTTTTATGATTTTATTTGAATTTTATGTAATTTTCCTTGGTTATGTTGCTTTGAGGTCCTGTGTTTTGTTCAACTTTCTGTTGCTATAGTAGACTACTGGAGACTATTTTTTTAACAATGATTGTTACATTGCATATTGTTGTCTTCAAAGGACTTGTTCAGATTACCAGATGTAGGCAGGCAAAAGTGAACAAACTATTCAGCATTAACTGTTCCGTCTAACAAACCAATAGAAACTAGTATCACAATTATCTTAGTTACCTTGTTTGTGTATATACATTTCTCCCTTGTTCCTTTCTCCTTCCTCTCATCCCAGTTATTTTTTCCTTTTGAGCAGTTTCTTTTCCTTTCACAATATCTATTGTATCTTTTGGATTTTATTTACTCTTTCAGTTTCTTACATTAGGGAGGCAATATGATGTCTATACATGCGGGTCTGATTTATTTCACTCATGAGTATGGTTTCTACTTGCATTCATTTACCATAAAAGCCATGAGTTTATCTCTTTGTCTCTCTCTCTCTCTCTCTCTCTCTCTCTCTCTCTCTCTCTCTCTCTCTCTC